CTTGGGGGTGGGGCTGTGCGGGCCGCGCGGGCCCGGTGGCAGGTTGCGTGCGCCGTATCCCTCCTCGGGCCACCCCAACCCGCGCCCGCCTTCAGTATACAGGGCTTCTCTCCCCCTTTGCAAAGCCTGCCCTTTGCGTTCACCATCGCTCTCCCTCGCTTGGCTAGTTTTAATGAATTACGTTATCCTGGGAGCGGTAGGCATGAAGGCCTCAGGGGAATGAATACATCTGATACTTTTATTCTTGGTAGGATGTTGGACGCACACCTCTCCCAGCCCCTCATCTGCCCTGGGGTGGGGCGGGGAGACCTGAAACTAGGTCCCTGCCCACCACTCCCAGGGTTTATCCTCTAGGTAAGGTGTGGAGCGCCGCTCCGGGAGAGCCCGGGTACAGTTCAGACGAGTGTGTGCAGCAACTTGGAAAACGTGATCCCGGTGGGGAGTCGCCACACGTTTTTAGGGGCCTCTGGGCGCCAGTTCTGTAATTGGGATGGCTCATGAGCCTGGGCCAGTCTCAAGCGACTGCAGACTCCATTGTTGGCGTGGGGTGGGGATTGGGTCTGGAGCGGGCTGTGTCCACGCAGAGCAGTCACTGTGCCAGGACCTCGGAGTCATCGGTGCCCCACTAGCTCTTGGTAGGAAGGATCAGCCAGGCCTGTTGGACGTGTGGGAGCAGGGGCAGCCTCTCTTGCCAGTTCTGGCTGTCTGGCATATCTTGCTCAGATATGCCCCCTGGCCCTGTTCTCAGGCCTCCTCATTCCAGTTTCCCTCTTCTATAAAATGAGGGGTTGGACCACTGCTCTTTCAGATCTGATGTTCTGGGATGTGTGTGTGCTTACACTGTGTAGCTTCATGGAGATGGCGGCCAGGAGTGGCCTTGGGGAGGAACAGGGTGGGCCTCCTGTCTTCCTGTCCAGTTTCAATCCCCAACCTGTGAGCCTAGCCTACAGGTGAGGGGCAGCAGGGTGCAGGGTCAGATCTGGGATCCCAAGCCTGAGGCATGCTGGGAGAATGGGTCAGGCGGAGAAGGGCAGTCAAAGATGGATGAGTCCGATGGGTATTAACCTTGCGGTTTTCGTGCTGAGTTAGTAACACCATGGAGGGAGTGTTTCAGGAGGACCAGCGTGGCACCAGTGAGCCAGTAGGCTGCTTAGTTACAGCAACTCTGGGTCAGCCAGGAAAGCTTTTCTCCAATTGGCTGAGGGAGGGTGGAGGTCTGAGAGCCACAAAGGGGATGATGTAGGACCCGAGGAGGGTGGTGGGTCCAGATTGTAAGCCAGAGGTGGGTTAACCTCTCCTGAAGTTGAGCATTTGTGGCCTGCACATTTTCACACTCATTCTTGCTCACTCCCTACACACACACACTCCTCACTCTTCCTCTGCTTTTTTGGGCAGGGGAAGCCACTGATGGGACTGCCTACCCTGGCCGCAGTCAGTTTCATTCCTGTTTTGTAAGAGCTTAGTCATAGAAGAGTTTGTTTTGAGGCTGGGTGGTGAAAGGCCTGGGAACCGTGTCTTCCAGGTGTCTAGAAGAGCTGGGCATATCAGCCGGGAGATAAACAGGCACTTGGAGTGTGTGGAAGAGTCCGTTCATTCTGCGTATCTGGAGGTGGCAGGTTGTGACCTGCAGGTGGGTGTTAATGCAGGCAGATTTGGCTGCAGTAACACTAATAGTACTTGAATGTTCCAGCATTTGTTCTGGGCACTTTTCCTGTATCAATCTACTTAGTCTTCACAGCGTGCCTACAACATAGGCCGTTATGATCCCAGTCTCATAGATGAACTTGGCGAGGTGGCATAGCTAATATGAAGCAAAGCAGGGATTGGAATGCCAGCAACCAGGTTCCTGAGGTCAAGCCCTAACCCCCATGCTCTACCCTGACTTTGTCCAGAACTTCTTAACTGACAGATCAGGCCAGCAGTAGGACCAGCTGTTGGGAGTGTGATAGGCACCCGTTACTGAAGGCACTGAAGTAGAAATTGATGAGCCACCCAGTTTTGGGTGGAAATTGGCATGAAATGTTCACTGCTCCTTAAAGGTCCACAGCAGTTGTCTGTGATTTCTAGTTCACACACGTGCTACCTTGGACGGCTGGTGCCTGGGGAGAAGGGAGGGGCCGAAGGGCCTGTTTACCAGGAGAGTTTCATATTCTGGGGACCAGGCAGGTTCCATCCAGTCTCCAGCCTGCGACTGGACTGCATGTCAGAATCCCCTGGGAAATTTGAAAATGTTGATGTCTGAACCCTGAAAGCACTAAATCATGATTTAGTAGACCTAGGATGAGTTGGGAAATCAGCCCCGATTAAAAGGAAGCTGTGAAGCTCATCCTTTGAACCTCAAAGCCCTTTTGTTTTGTCAGTTGTTATGTTGTAAGAGCTTCTGGTGGGAGAAGCTGAGGATACAGAGTATTTTCCACCTGGTTTACTAAACAGATGCTGTCTGCTGGCTTAAACTAGCTCTCCGGCAGAACTATTGTTTGGCTCTGCTGGGGCCTTATGCCCCGTTTCCCGCGCCAGCTGGGCCATGCCATTTAGCAGTGGCACAGGAGCATTTGTTGTGGTCAGGACTTGTACCCTTTCCCCATCACCAACTTGAATAATCTGTTTCAATGTTCAGCTTTTATTACGAGGTTACTGGGAATGGGAATGTCTGATACAGATACCCCCATGTCTATCCCTACAGACTTTACTGGGTAATAGTAATTTTAAAAATTGCATGCTTAGTTTCTTTTTTTTTCTTTTTTAATATATTTTATTGATTTTTTACAGAGAGGAAGGGAGAGAGATAGAGAGTGAGAAACTTCGATGAGAGAGAAACATCGATCAGCTGCCTCCTGCACACCCCCTCACTGGGGATGTGCCCACAATCGAGGCACATGCCCTTGACCGGAATCAAACCTGGGACCCCTCAGTCCACAGGCTGACGCTCTATCCACTAAGCCAAACTGGTTAGGGCTGGATGCTTAGTTTCTTAAGGTTTACTGATATTATTATTATTGGACTAGAGGCCCAGTACATGAAATTCATGCACTGGTAGGGTCCCTAGGGGCTGCCGGCTTGGGCCTCCCGCCCTTTCCCTGGCTAGCCCCGCCCTCTGGTCGAACTCCCGGACAACCTCCTGGTTGAGGGGACAATTTACATACTATGCTTTTATTATATAAGATGTAGTCACAGTCAAGAACAGGGAAGGGATTTCAAAATTTCAGTCCAAAGGCTTGAGCTCTAGACTTGGCCCTGAGTCTGTCTATCCACTCTGCATGCTGCTTCACTCCTCCTCACTTTGGACACTCTGCCCCTCACACAGGATAAGTGTGTCACCAGCATAGTGTGCCATGCCAGCACAGCCAAGGGTTCGGTGAGCCTGAGGGGGCACAGCGAAGGATGTAGAAAAGACAGACAAAGAGAATAAGCTGGGTCTAGGTCAGGGGTGGGCAAACTTTTTGACTCGAGGGCCACAATGGGTTCTTAAACTGGACTGG